GTAAGATCCCCTAGAACAGGAGTTACAGTTGTGAGCTACCCTGTGGGTCCTGAGAAACAAACCTGGATCCTCTTCAAGAGCAACCAGTGCTCTTAACTGTTGAGCAGTCTCTCCAGATTCCACATATATACATTTAAATCTGGATTCTGTGTATAAGAGATAACACGCAATGTTTGCTTTTGAGTCTGGCTTTGTTTTTAAGCATTTTATGTATTTATTTTGTGTGCATACAAACATATGGAAGTCAGAGGCCAACTTCCAGGAATCACCTCTCTTCTTCTACCATGTGGGATCCAGGGACAGAACTCAGTTGTCTGGCTTGTTGGCAAGTCCCTTTACTCGCTGAGCCCTATTGCTGGCCAGAGTCTGTCTTATTTCATTTAACATGATTATCCTGAGGCACATGCCTCAGGCAAATTTTTACCTGTTTTTTTCTGTTTTTTAGAAGACCCCTTGATGTAACTCAGAGCTTCTTGCTTGCTCAGCTTGTAGTCCACCACAGAGCCTGCCCACTCTGTTTCTTATGCCTTCTTTTGCCAATGATCTCTGTACTGGGTGGGTGGGTGGGTGTGATGTATATTTGTGCCCATCCTTTCATGTATCTGCTCCTCCTACTTCATGGCACACTCTGAGACACTCTGAGTGTACCTATGAGGCCGGGCAGTCACCACGAGAGATTAGCCTCAAACCTCTGTGATTCCACATAGCTGCCTGAGGTTTGCTCTCCAGATGGACACAGTTCCTGTTTCCACTGCAGGTCTTGGGGTTCTACTCCACATGGTCATACAGGAACCCAGAGGTGGGTGGCAGACGCAGGATAGCCAGCCATTGCAACCTCCAGGAGGTGGGTGTGAAGAGAACATGTTTGGGGCAAGGGCTGGAACTCACAGTTCAGATGCAAGCATGTACAGGCTCATGAGGCCCTGGATTCCATCTCCAGTCCAGACAACATCAAAACACAGGTTGCCAGGCATGGTGGTGCATAGAGGCAGAGGCAAGAGGATCTCAGTGAATTTGAGGACAGCCAGGGCTGACACAGAGAGGCCCTGCCTCAGAAAATAAATAAACAAATAAACAGGTAAATAAACAAATAAATAACATTAAAGTAAACCTTTTTTTTTTTTAAGTTTGAATCCAGACATGGTGTCTCAGGTAATCCCAGTGTGGGAAAATGAGGCAGGAGGATTACAGTCAGTTCTAGGATACACAGCAAGTTCCAGGTCAACTTGGGTTACATAGTGAAACCCTATCTCAATTTCCATCCTACTCCAAAAAAAAGGTATCTTTTTACTACTGGTTTCTCCTGCTGGGCATCAAACACAGCTCATGTACACTGTCTGCAGACCCTGTCCTTTGGTTCA